ATAAACGTTCATATGTTGTTTATATAAATTAAAGAAATGTTTTTGTCTAATTCTTGTTTATGATTTAATATTTTTTATTTTATAATATATAATTTTATGTTTTTATCTATAATATCATATTTATAATATTTTATACTGTAAACGCATAAAACGTTTAACCCGTCTAAAATTACCAATGCTCTGATTAGGAGTTCTAGGCGCAAGGTCATCACCCTTTTAGCACCTAACGCTATCTTAAACATTGCTTAAACCTATAAGACAACTTTTTCACAAGTGAGAATTACTAAAAGACTACCACTTGGTTGCATAAATCATTGTTGTAAATCTGAAAATTGGTTTGGATTTTATCAGATATGTCATATTGTCATTTATATAAAAACCTGTATTATTTACAATTTTACAATTTTGCCGCAAATAGAAAATTCATCATCTATTTAAAATTATTATGTTGAATGTTCTTATTGCTAATTTATGTTTTTTTGTTTGTTTGTTATCATGTAGTTAATAAAATTAGATCCATCTTATGTAGTTACAATTTTTGTGGTTACATTTATTTTTGATCCGAAATATCAATTTATGCATTTTCATGTATAAATTTGATTATTTATATATCTAAGATCCTAATATTTTTCATTATCATGACTACATACAATAATAATATAGGATATTTTGATACAATAATATATAATTATGTTACTCTATTATAAATAAAAAAATTCATTGCTCTATTAACTATCCTGATCTAGTACTCCGACCACATCATAATAGGCTCATGATTAAATACTTGATTGACATAATTTGAACAAGATCTGAAGAGTTTTCAAATGAAAAGAAAAAAAGAAAGCAAAAAATGAAAGAGTCATTTATCATCACTTTTAAATCTTCTACTATTGCATATAGCCACATAAAATATATAGTCGTGTCTTGAATTCCTTAGTATTTCTAACATCTCAAAGATTTAAGGTAAAATTATTAAACTAATAAGATTTGCATACAACACATAGTTATCGTATATGAACCATAAAACGTAATAATGAGAAAAAATTTAATGTAAAATTATTAAACTAATAAGATGTTAGGGAGCAAACAACTAAACTAAAACACATATTTATTTTTAGTTATTAGTCACCATTGATAAAAAGAAAAAAAATTAGTAAAATAAGAAGAGTAAAATGAAGAACTTTATAATTGTATAATTTTATAATATTAACATAATTTTATAATTTTCATATTTTGAAGAAATTAGTTAAGAGTAGGATTTAAGAGGATTTAATGCAATAAAGAACTTTTATTTTTTTTATTTAATTTTGCAAAAAAATTTTATTTAAATAATGTAAAATGACATATGTCATTTGCTTGTGTGATAATGTGGCAATCATACGGAGAGAGTTGGCCAACTTTCATATATATGATTTCATTTGCACCACAATTAATCAGAGACAAAAGTTAAATCATTCTGACCATATATCTTATCTACACTCTTTAGTCTTTTATTAATTAAACCCCATAATAGAACAAATTTTCAAATACCCACTTATGAGAAACACTAAGATCAGCTTTTTCTTTATGACTTTCTTTCTAAAGCTAAGCTGGTAGTCATGACTCATGATTATCCTTTTCTAATGGGAATATTGTAGAAGCGGTTTCAAATCTTTAGACAAAATTCCATGGCCACTAAAAGTTAGGAAAATTAAAATAAGGTTAGAAAATATGAGTGTATTTGGCCATATGCCATATTGTTGATATCATAACAAGAGAAATAATAGTTTATTGAAGTGTAAATCATAATCACAAATACAGCATTGCCTTCATCAACAGTTTCCATGGATTTGAGAGGATCAACTTCAAAACTAATGGTGGGGACTTATTCATCCATTGTTCTCTAGCCAATTAAGCAGTTAGGTTATTTGTGTACTCTACTAAGTTGCCAAATCAATCTTTATATTCACAATGTTGTAATTTCTAATTATGTATAGATAATTGAGTAGATAACACGTGGCTTTGGTTTTAGCAGGAAAGTTTTCCAAATCATATAGATTAAGTAGGATAGTGTTTTTCATTAATCATTAATTAGCATAGACGGAGAGCATGTGACAAGTCGACATGTGTATAAGTATTAAGAGAATTTTGTTAGATACCACTTTTATGATACCATATTTTTTTACAAATATTAGTAGGAAAAAAAATTATTCAAAAATAATAGTTTAACATGTCTTATAAAACATTTTAACCTTATAAAATTTAAATTGTGTACCAATTTGCTTTTGGTTCAGGGAGTTTAATTGCTTTGGCTCCTACCTATGTAACATTTTCCTCTTTTGAGGATGACTAGTATGGTATAAAATCTTGGTGAACAAAAAAAACTTTATAAAATTTAACAAACAGCTTATAACATGCATTATAACAATTTTCTAAAATTTTATAAACCTTTTTTATAACATGCTTTTAGAAAGTTTATAATCTGTATTTCTAGATCGCTTTTTTTTTTTGTATTTTTAGAAACAAAGTGTTTAAATAAATAAATAAATTAATATATATATATATATATATATATATATATATATATATATATATATATGAATAAAGATGTGGTATTTTTAAAAGAGATATCATAACAGTGGTATTTTTGAAATTCTTCCCATACTTGTCAACATAAAAATAATTAAATTAAATTTAATTAATTTTATAATCACCAAGAAAAAACCCTAAATATATCTATATATATGTAGGAAATATCCTTCTAATTTTACTAGAAAGTTATGTAGGATCAAAAGATAACCGAATAAAAATAATTCACATTCCAACTTTTATATGTATCTCTGTAGTACATTAGTACCAAAAATAACTATCTCATTACAAAATGGTCTTGGTTTCTCAAAGTTGTATTCTGTTGATATATGTTAAGACGTACTTAAGAGCAATCAATTCCGGTCTCTGGTAGCTGGTTATCGTTTTTGTCTTCCTTGTTGTGTTTTCTGTTGTAATCATAATTTTTTTTTATTTGTAGATTTCGAACTCTCTGAATTATTTGTTCCTCTTTAATCGATGTTGCAAAACTAAAAGTAAAATAAATAATTAACCTTGATATCAATATATATATATATATATATATATATATATATATATATATGTTAAGAGGTAATTTTTGCAATAGACACACCCATGGATATAATGTTGAAATGGGAGCTCTCGCATAGTTATCTCTTTTTCTCTTTATTTCTCTACCACTCAAGTTTCGAATACCACCCTAAGGTAGTTTATTTCTTAACCTAAGTAATTTTTAAGTTTACAAATCTTAAATACAAACCTTATCTAATTCAAAGGTCCAAACTAAACCTTTCTAAAAATTTATACGTAGTTAGTCATTTGAATTTTTGGTTAAAACTCAAAGTAAATTAGAAAACAAAAACTAAAAATTCTTGTTACATGACACGAACACCTACAAAAGAATTATTAACATGAGTTTTGAAAAGAAATAGAAATAGAACGTCAAAAAAAAAATAGTAGGTTTGTGGACAAAACATAATGTTTATACCAAAGTGGCCCTAAAGTTCCCAAAAAAAAAAGACTAATAAAGAAGTATACTTTTGTAATCTTAGCCTAGGTGGTTAGATAAGTGTTCCTCAAATGTTTTTGTTTTTGAAGAAATGTTTCTCAAATCTTATGATATATGTAATTAGTACTTGTATCTAATCTTATACCTTTGTTTTATCTAATTAATTGCAAACAATATTGTATTTTATTGTATATATATATATATATATATATATATCTAGTTTTAGCAAAATGGGATTAATAGATTTATAAATTTTTTATTAATATGAATGTTTATGCATATTACATGCATTTGGTTAAAAACGTCAAGTTTCTCGGTCTAGTTTTGGGTTTGGACAACACACCATTATGGGGACCAAACTAATCCAGTCATAAATACTACGGTGCATGCCCAAGACACAAAGCTTGGACTCGATGCTGATGGCATTGAATGACACTTCATCAAAAATTATAACTTTTAACTTCATCAAAACAACATTTTGGAGGAAGAATCGGCATATCAATCGGTGTAAATAATCGCCCGCTATATTATTCGAATCCCAACTAATAATAAGTAATTCGAAGAAGTAGCCCACTATAATGAAATCATAAGACATTATTAAATTAGTCAATGTTCTAAAAATACTTTTGGGTTATGTGTCGCGTAGAGCTAATGTGCACACACATTGAAAGTTGACCCGCTTCACTTTTATAATATTTTCTTTTTGATTAAATCCAGCTTTTATAATCTCATCTTGTTATCAAACAAAACGTTTGGCCTGTCTTTTTCATAAATTAAAGTAACTCTCACGGAGAAAAGCCAACATTTTTCTTCCTGATTTATTTTTGTAAGAATAATTAATTCAAGTGGACCCCAAATTTAAAAGGAAAACCAAAACTTTTTTCTATGTATTTACGACTTTTGAAGTTATCTATGTTAAGTTGTTAACTAATCAACAATCTTAACTATATATCCTATGTATTGAAGGTTCTATGTTAGCATGAGATAATAAAACGATTGAACATATATAAAAGTGAAAAATCTCTAATTTTTTTTTTAGATTTTATTTTCTGTAAATGGAGTTAGATCACTTGTCATTTTACTACATCCCTTGCGCCGAAATATTGTTTTTTTTTTTTTTTTTTTGATAAAAAGATTGTTTTGAAAACAATTTTAATGGAATTCTAGTTGCCACGTTTAATATGTTTTGTCCCTATACTTTAGTGAATCTTATAATCTTTGTTATAGAATTATCTACTTTTACATTAACATAAACATTTACAGAATTCTTCTTTGTTCTATACAATTATATAAGTATTATATTCTAAATACATTACCAAAGGCGGAAGGGGGTCTAGGGCTGAGAAGATTACGTGATGTTTCTCGTGCTTTTGCATATCGGTTAATATGGAAGTTATTCACTTTGTCGGACTCTCTTTGGGTGGCTTGGACTAAGAAAAATTTGATGAAGGGAGGGTCATTCTGGTCAGCTCCCAATTCTATTCTAGGCTCTTGGATTTGGAAAAAGCTACTAAAGCTTCGTGAGGATGTTAAGCCTTTCATTCGTGTGGAGATTGGTAACGGGGAAGATGCATCATTCTGGTTTGATGCTTGGATGCCACAAGGTAGTATCTTACACATTACAGGACCTACTGGTCCTCGACAATTAGGAATTCCTCTACATGCGACAGTAAAGGAAGCGATAGGCCTTCAAGGCTGGAAATTGCGTCGTTCAAGGTCAGCCACTCTCTATCCACTCATACAGGCCATACGTGCTACTCCTCTGCCCGATGCTCCTCGTGGTAAAGATCAGTTTCTATGGAAAACTGATATGGATGGCTTCACGGGTCAGTTCCATTCACTTAAAACATGGGAACAAATTCGAGAAAGTCATCCTCAAGTACCTTGGGGTAATCTCATCTGGTTTCGTCAAGGAATTCCGCGTTGTGGTTTCATCTCTTGGCTCGCAATCCAGAACCGTTTGTCAACAGGGGATCGAATGCGCCTTTGGGGACAACAACAACATTGTGTTTTTTGCCGTGAAATAGATGAAACTCGAGATCATTTGTTTTTCGCATGTCCGTACTCATTCACACTTTGATCCTCGCTGGCTGGGAAGCTCCTTCGACACCACTTATCTCCGGGCTGGGAAGAGACAGTAGCGACAATTCGAAGTCACTCAGGAGACAAGCTTCGAGATATCTTGATCAAGCTCTTCTTCCAGGTGTCTATTTACGTGTTATGGCAGGAGCAAAATTCACGCATTCACAATAGTGGATGTATGTCCATAGCTCAACTGATCCGCCATAGTGAAAAGCTTGTCCAAAATAGGATTTCTTCATTGGATTACTCCTCCAAGCCTCTCCTGCGTCTTCTGCTCCAGAGGCGACTCATGGTAAAGCCGTAGTCGTCAACGGATTCCTTGTTTCTACACTTTGTCTCTTGCATTGGCAATGCTCTGTTCTTCCTCTTTATTATGCTCTATTTTTAAATGCGTTACCTCCTTGTCAAACATTTGTAAATATTCACTATTTTGAAATATAAATTACACATTTCAACAAAAAAATATATTCTTAATACATATAAAAAAATGTTGGTGTTGCTATCTGAGCTGTAAGACCATGTACATAGGTGATTTATTTTGGGTATCAGTAGCCCAAAAATCATTTTTTAATGGACCAAACCATATATTTTGGCCTGATCCGTATCAGTTCACTGATACCTTTGATACTCAGTATCGGGTGACGTGGCAGCACACGGTTGGTCAGCGTTTTCGCTGAAAGCAGAGAAAAATAAAAAATTCATAGCGATTCTTCTTCTTCTCCAACTCCTCCGCCGATTCTTCTTCTTCTCCACCGCGAGCTTGAACTGGAAGACAAGCAAGTCACGATGGGTTCCATTGAAGAAGATCAAGACCTCTCATCGAAGAAGATTATCTCTTCGTTCCTCTCGTTCCCGGATGTGCCTTTGTTATCCTCGCCGCTCTCAATTGGCTGCTCCTTGGATTGAGTGGTTGAGAAACTGTTGGAAGCTTCCGATGATGACTCTGTTCAAGATCGTCTCACTGATCGCGCACTCCAATTCGCGTCGCTTCTTCAAGATACCACCAAAAGATTATCCCGAAAGCGCACTTCTCTCCACAATTCCAATTCCTGGTTTCTCCCTCATGAACTTACCATTAAGGTAACACCTTTGTGGTATCTTTTTGATGTAAACTTGAGTTATTGAAATCTAGAGACCATGTTTTAGGGATTTTGTTTCTAGTTCTGTTGTACCATGTTTCGTAAATGTCAAAAGTAGAGTGGTCTGTAGTATGATCCTTAAAGCTGGAAAAGAACTCATGTCAGACGTTTGTGCCTTCATAAAACCCTAATCATAAGGCCGCGTTAGTGAATAATCTGCTAACGTAAATGTCAAAAGTAGAAGGTGATGATCATCATTTGGTAAAGTAGCTTGGTTGATTAAGATATCCTGCTTTAGTTACATTGGACTAGACTTTTGAGATCAAATAAGAACTTATCATAAGGCCACATTAGTGAATAATCTGATGTATCTCTGCTCTAAAGAGAAAGCTTCACATTTCCTACAATTGGTGATGTTGGTATTTGTTTAATTTGCCTGAACTAAATTGGTATACTAAATTTGTAGAGCGGTCCGATGAATGATGAGGTAAGACTGGTGTTGCTAGGAACAAGGATGGCGCTCTTTCTAGAATTTGCTGGAAGAAAATTCACTCAGCCTATTAAGGTACACTGCTCGTCGCTGATGATTAGCCATGTACAAGTATCAAAATTTGAATTAGAGGTCTTGCTGGAAGAAAATTCACTGAGCTTTCATAGAGGTCTTGCTATCTATGAAAGTATCAAAATTTCGTATTACTAATCATCTTTAATCTGGTTTGGTTTTGAAGGATGATATCGGAGATAAATCTGTTTTCACGTTCATGTCCATTTCTGAAGATGAGAAGAATGCCATAGTTGAAAAGCTCGAGAAAGAAAAGTTGGGGTAAGACTTTGAATGATAGTGGAGTGTTTTAAGCATCTTCAAGATTAGGTAAATATCTTGTATCCATAGATTTTATATACCACTGAGGAGAGATGCTAATATAAACAGTTTGTAGATTGTGATTAGTACACAAATGCCATCAAAATCTCCATGTGCAAAAACCATGATTCACCATTCCATGATTGAGAGCTGGTTGCATCCCATCTTTTGGAGCAACCTGGTTCAGTCTGACCCGAATTTGGCCTTGATTTCATCATTAAGGTCTGATCATCCCATCTTCTATATTTATATGATTATAGAAGGATTTCTAAAATTTTGTTTCGGATTTGATTTAAATTCTTTGTATTTGATGTAATATTTTTAATTGATTCAATTATCATTAATTTTTTTTTATTAATGATACTGATACCGGTCTCACCACTGAAAACAGATTTATTACCAGTATCATAAAAAATTTCAAACAATAAACACATTAAAATTAATACTAAAAAATTGTTAATGATACTCATATATATTTCTTTTTTTCATCAAACACCATTTCTATTAAGATATCGAAAAGAGACTCTCCGCTAGGGAGAGCCAATCAGGAACCGACGAACTTACATGGGAAAATAGACTGTTTCGAGCCCGAGCATTTTTGGCTAAACAGTCTGCTCGAGTATTAGAACTACGAGGAAGAAATCTAATATTAAAAGAAGAGAAAAAATAAACGAGGAACCGGAAAGAGGCCATTTCTGCTACAAAAGTTGGCCAAACGTCGTGGTTGTCGAGGAGAGAAATCATGTCAGAGCAATCGGATGCGAAGACGCCAGTGATAATGCCTAACGAGATCATACATTCCATTGCCCAAAGCAAAGAATCAATTTCCGCGTGGAGCGGTGAAAGACTTCTTCTCGAACTCTTTAGGCCAAGATGAAGAATACTGTTAATGATACTTATAAAATATCAACTATGTGCATACTCTAATAGTTGATTGCTTCAGAAAAGAATAGACAAAAATCCTTGCTTAATAAGCTCACCACTTTCGCACAAAAAGAAAAAAAAAAAAGAGGCCCACCACTCTGAAAATTTAGACAAGAAAAATAAAAATAAATTAGGTTACACATATCATCATTATATATATATATGCACAACACAAAGTTGACCTGACAATGTAATATTAAATGATTATTAAATGCAAGAAGAGAGGGAATTATCACTCTTATCAAGAAAACAAGTTCCTTTAAACGGGTCTCTCTATATATATAAACTTTAAACACCTAAAAATTTAACATAGATCGAGAAAAAATCCTCAAAACAACAAAACAAAAGCTTAAAGCAGACATGAAGCAACAACATTACTTGGTCGTCTTCATCGTCCTTTTCAGCTTTCTTCTGGTAAAAGCTTCTTCTTTAATCATATTAAAACCCTAATTAAGATCTGAATATAGATACATATATCTGAATGTTGTATATATTTCTTGGTACAGTTTGTGAATCTGAGTGAAGGAAGAACAGGAGGAGTTGCAGAAGAATATTGGAAGAAGATGATGAAGAATGAACCGTTGCCTGAACCAATCAAAGAGCTTCTCAACAATCCGTTTAGGACCGGCCAAGAGAGATTCATCCAGAATTTCGACACCAAATCTGTTGTCATCATCTACCACAATCCTAATGAATAATATTGACGAAGCCTCTTATATATATGACTTTGTGTTTATGTAATGTATGGATCGAGTTATACGTGCACGTATATGTTATACTCCTTGAGTTGCTTGAGTTGTTGTGTTATACACGTATACTATATATGTTCTGTTTAGTGCAGCTATAAGGGATTTTTCTTTTTTACCATTAATGTGAGTGAGTGAGTCTTTGTGTGGTGAAAACTAGACTTGCTTCACATTTTGTTTTGATAATATATATAAATAAATACACGGTGCCTTTCGTGTCTTGTTACTTATAGTATTATTTTGTGAAATCAATTAATTATTTTAGCAAAAATAATAATAATAAAATAATTATGTCCCTATGAAAAAAGGGAATATTGCAAAATCTACCACATTTCAATAACTGGCATTCAAAATCTACCACATTCTTAAAAGGTTTTCAAAATCTTTCACATTCCAATAGCACATGCGGAATTGCATGTGGACCAAAATACCCTTGAGTGGGACATAGTCTGTGTCAGGGATAAAGTTTTTGTCAGAGACAGAGACAGTTTTGTCCGACGCTTCCAAAGAAGGAGCAGGTCTGCAATAAATGTTGCACGTTTACATTTGCTAGATAATTGAATTTAATTAATAAAAATGATAATAGAGTAGGGTTAGACCATTAATTGCTCTTTTAATATATCAGATAAAAGATGAGACAAGTTCAGATCGAATGAGTAATAGAATGAGATCGGGAACAAATTCATATCGAATGAGTAATAGAATTAGATCGGAGACAAGTTCAGATAGAATGGGTAATAGAATTAGATCGGGGACAAGTCAAATCGAATGAGTAATATAATTAGATCAAAAATTGAGCGTGATGATTTTTATCATCCAATTCTCTTGACTGTCCATCGCCAGAGATCTGAATTTACTCGGGAACAACTGGAATTTACTCGGGGACAACTGGAATATAATTAGGAAAGTTATATTATATTGTTTGGGCTTTGCACTGGAGGGATGTACTAGCCTACAGGTTCAGAACCTCCTAGTCATAAAAAAAAAAAAAAAAAAAAAAACAAGAATGAAAAAGAAACCATTTCAGTCTTTTCATAAATGTAGTGGACAACAAATAACGTTAGTGTAGAGAAAAAGAGATCCATAAACACCGACCAACCCAATTCGGCTTTTTATTTATTTATTAGGGTTCTAATTTTTTTTAAAAATATTAATGTACCACAGAACAACAGATTTACAATATGGTAAAATGGTAAAAACCTCAAGAGTGAGATTACTGATGAGAGAGCAGATGTATTTTGAATAGTTTCAGCATTCACATCCTGTTGACCTCTGTGGATTGCTGGTTCCAACATCGATCGTGTCTGGTAGGTACCTAAACGATTAAACATCAACAAGTTTCAGACATAATCTCGAGTCGACCCATCAACCCGAAAAGAAAAATAGCATTAGCAAAGCCTATGATTGCGATTGTGTGTGTTTTAACTTACATTTCTTCCTCTTCTCCACTCTTCATTGCGTTCTTAGTTATGCACAGGAACGCGTCTTCCACATTGGTGCCTTCTTTAGCTGAGGTTTCATAGTATGGAATGTTTCCTTTCGAAGCACACCAAGCTCGAGCCTTCTTCTCTGAAACCTGCAAATTCAAAACAAAAAGTGATTAAAAACAATGCAGAGAGGTTTCAAATTTCAAGGTTGTTCTTTATTACAAGGAGATTATATACGTACCACCCGGCTGTTTCCACCATCTACATCGATCTTATTACCGATAACAACAAAGGGAAAGTTCTCTGGATCCGAAGGACTTGCCTGCAAATCACAATTACCGGCATTGAAGTAAAGTCCTATTATTGAATCTACTGAGAAGAGAGAGTATAAATATAAATCTATAATTATACCTGGATCAGAAACTCTTCCCTCCAGTTGTTGAGATCCTCGAATGATTTGGCGGAGTTGACATCATATACAAGAACACAGCAATCAGCACCACGATAAAATGCCACACCAAGACTCTGAAACCTTTCCTGACCAGCTGTGTCCCAGATCTGTAACAAACAAAGCAAGAACTTAGCTCCTATAGTCAAGTAAAGAGGGCATTCCATATAGTACTTGGGATAAATTCTTAATCCAGGACAGAGTCTGTGAACCCTTTTCGTACTTTGATCATGCCAAAGCAAACCCCGTAAGAATCACATCAGAAACAAGTATGAGCCAATTCAATATTGGAACGGCGCACAACAATCCGACAGAACTTAAGTTTGCATTAGTATAAGATAAGACTGCAGAGAAGTTAATAATTCAAAAGTTAAGCAGAGATCAGCCTGAAGCTCATAAACTATTCAACCGTTTTTCCAATATCAACTCTGCCACTAAGGATTCAAACTCATACCAATGCACTAAGCAAGCAAAATCTACAACAAGACAAAATAAAATTACTTCACTGATAAACTGTGCTGTTACAACAAACCTGTAAAGTGAAAAGCCGGTCTTCAAATTGCACTTCCTTAGTCAAGAAATCAGCCCCAATGGTTGCCTTATACTGGTTGCTGAACTTCTTATTCACATATCTAAAGGCATGGTGTTAAAGTGAAACAGAAACACAAACTCATCTAACTCGAAAGAGGACAGATTGTTGTTAGTCATAAAACAGAGACAAGAGAATCTATTCATATATATTATAAAAAAAAAAAACATTGCAATAACTTCCTCTTTACTCCATTCACAGAAAATTTAGGATACTGATTCATCAAAGAAGTCTTCCCAACCCTGCAAAATTCCCAATGAGTCTCTTAACTTCGATAAACACAACAATAAGACTTTTGGACTCATAGCTCAACAGCTTCACCAGGCATCACGACAAATAAATATATGATTCAGAACATATTCACTCTCACTCACCAAGAAACAAACTAAGCCGAAAACAATTCTTCCTTGATTGCGAACACTTGACCGAATGATTTCTTATAAAAGGTTGTTGCTTATAATAATAGCAGGATCAAACAAATCTTGAATATGATACAAGATTCAGTATTCAATTTCTCTCCAGTCAAAAATAGATAAGAACACCAAATCTGAATCATACTGAGAGAATTAGACATGAACTTCAAATAGCAGCTTGAGACTAATTTCAACTAATCCAATCTCTAATCATCACTTCACAATTCAATTCCATGTAATTACAGAACAATCAAAATCCAGAAGACCTAAGAGATCACACCAATCCAGATCGAATCCAATCAAAATTCGAACCCAGAAAAAGTATATACTTACTGATCGAAAAACACTAAATCAACATGTAGAAGCAGATACATACGGAGAGAGAGAGAGAGAGAGTCAGTCACCGGAAAACTTACCCGCTATCGCCGAGGATGATGACTTTGAGGAGAGTTCTTCTACGAGAAGGCATCGAGATCTGTACAAAGACAAAGAGAAGCTCTCTGCGATTTTCTGGGTTTTTGGAGAAGACGCTTTTTCTTTCTTCTCTTGAAGCCTTAGAGCATACACAGCAGTGTATGCCTATCCTTGAGTGTTATGAATTTAATAATTTAAATGTATGAAAGAAAGAGAAAGGAAAAGGAGGAAAAAGAAATAGAGAGAAAGGAAAAAGAAGAGAGAGAAAGGAAAGAATAATGCTTACATATGCTTACATCCGAGTCTTAGTTTACATCTGAGTGTTGCTTCAAAACCAACTTTATTATTATTTCACTTTTTAATAATGCTTACATCCAGGTAAAAAATATACCACTGCGTGTGGTCTTATGCTGTTGCTGACGTGTCTTTTTTTTTTTTGAGATATTAGTAGGTGGTGATGGTTTAGGGATTTTTTTTAAGAAATATGTATATCCAACTATAATTAACCTTATACAGGATATTTCTATTATAAAAAAAATGTTGACCTTTATGTAAGGTAAAAAATCTTATGGTTTACTAAGAATTTATCTACAAATTTGATAAAACTTTTCGATTAATTTAAATAAATAATGTTATTTTATTTGATATTACTCTATTTATCAAGAAAAATACGGAACCGTACACATTTTATGTATGATCGTATTTGCTAATTCGTTCAATGATACGTTATTTTACCAAATATCGGGTTTAACGCATTAATAGTATTTCCGCCAGTCCGTACGAAAATACTTTTCTTTTATATACCATTTTACAACTATAGTTAATTACTAAATTTCTTCTTTGAGATTAGAATAACGACTTAGATAACCTAAAAAGATACAAAATATACGGAAATGTACGAAAAATTAAATATTAGATTTTATAAATAAGTAAGAAGTACAATTAACTATTAGAAAAAAAATAAGAAATATATTATTTGACTACAAAACCTCTATGAAATAATTAATTTTGGTTGAATCAAATGATGTATATATATTTTATCAAATCGAAATTATACTATAGATAATAATATTTGTTATTAATGAAATTTAAATCAAATGTTTGACCGCGTAAATCTTATCTTAATCAATAAGAGCTGTAAACGAAAATAATAATAATGATTTAGGCTCCTCCATGTAAAGAAAATTAAGGAAAATGATACGAAAAAACAAATTTTAGGGATGGATGATGAATGATCGAAGGGTCATGGGTGATGAATGATGATGATCCAAGGGTCACAATGTCTCACAACAAAACGATGCCAAGCCTCTTTCTGAATCGGAGGGTTACGACTTTTGTATGTGTAATTAATTAGATACATGAACGAGAACAAACAAACTCTTTAGGAATGAATACAAATTCTTAAGGAAAAATGAGATTTACACCTTTTCACCATTTCAATGGATTCTCTTTATAAACCCTCTCTAATCACATAGATAACATCACACATCACCACACATATCGAAAACAAACAAAAAATCAGTAATGGCTTCTCCTTTGTATCCGTCTAACAATCCTTCATCTTCAATTGTGGTGACACGAGACGAGTTCAATGCTTTTCACACAATCGACAGAACCTTGTTCAGTCGTCTTGTCTTCCATCTAAACCGAGACGTGGACCAGTCGTTTCTAGCGATGTGTTTTCTCTTGTTGCTCGAGCAATCTGGTTACGCCCGTGACGTTATCGCCTATCTTGTCTCGTTGCCAGACGCTTTCGTTGACGCGGTGGCTAACGAGATCGGTGTGTGTATAAATTTGTTATACAACCTAGATTTCGCATCTACGTTCTTCGCTGCTAGCAATGATGATAATTCCATTATACCTTTGCTCTTAAGTATGACTGGAGGGAAGTTAACTCTCAGATTAATCAATCAAGACCGCGAAATTTTTCGTGTTGGAGTGTCAAAGAATTGGACCGATGTTGGCACTCGAGCTTTCACAGATTTATGCGAGAGAGCTCACATGATCAACAGGGAGAAACTTCTGGCTTTAGAGAGAGAGAAATTTATTGAGGACATGAAGAGGCTCAGGTTGAGTCTTCAACAAGAAAACCCTAACAGGTTGAGTGTTCAACAAGTAAAAATTGCGTCTCCTCCTCCTCCTCGTCCGGTTGAAGACGAAACAAACAAGTTCCATAAAGAGAAAGAGATAATGGAGGCAAAAGAGAAGGAAGCGGTGGTGGCGGCAGATGATCGGACGGTTTTCCTGACGTTTTCAAAAGGGTACCCGATTTCGGAAGCGGAAGTTAGGGTTTACTTTACGAGGAGGTTTGGGGAAGTGATAGAAGCGGTAGAGATGCAGGAAGTTGAAGCAAATGAGCAGCCGTTGTTTGCGAAGATGGTGTTGAAACTTCAGTGTGCGTCGATGATGGACCAGATTGTGAGTGCAAGGTCTAGAAACAAGTTCACCATCGATGGCAAACATGTTTGGGCTCGTAAGTACGTTCGCAAGATCCCTTACCCAGCTTCATCCTCTACTCATATTTGAGTGTCTCTGAACTTTTTATTTACATGTTGTTGATGTTGTTGTTGTTGTTGTTGTTATTGTTGTTGTTTTCTTTTCAATAAAATTGTGCCGTCAATCTTATTATTGTGCTACCCATTAATATATGTTTAAGTTGGCGATTAAAATGATTGTTTTCTTAAGTCGTTTTGGAATTAATTTTTTTGTTTTGAATCTTCTTACAATGTTTAAGAATTCATCGCCAGGAAGGTGAAAGACTTCCAAGAACAAATATTTAAAAACGCATAATAAATTTAAAAGATAAAATGTAAAAATATACGACTGGCTAATTAACAATTTCTATATATTTTTTTTTGGTAAGCAACAATTTCTATATATTAAAACGTTACATATGAGTTGATTTATATTATTTGTTTTTTTCATTTGGACTTTTGTTCAAGATTTTTTTATTATAGTCAGTCAAATAAGCAAGTAGATATTGTGCCAACATCCTCCATGGGCACCCTCGCTCCGAAACTTTTTAGCTGAGATCATGTTAATTCGAATTTGTGTTAAATAATTTGTTTATAAATTCTAAATACAGTAAAACCTCTATAAATTAATAAATTTTTCTGGTCCCGAGTTGGAACCAGTGTAAAATATGACATAAATCGATAAATTAATAAGATAATAATTTTTTTGAAAATCACATGTAAACATATGGTCTCATCTATATTATAAATTAATAATTGTATAAACTTATCAATATATATATATATATATGATATAAATTTATATATGAATTACTATGATATATATTTAAAATCTTATATGTAAAAATTTTAATGAAATATGACTCTAATATTCGAAAAAAGTTTGTGTTGTTTTTTAAACTTAAAAATTGCTTCTCTACTTGCAATTGATTTTAAAAAAATATTGCTTACAAAGAAAAAATTTATTTTTAGATAGAAATTTTTTAAAATATTATAAAATTAGTAAAATCTCTCTATAAATTAATAATTATTAATTTATCGATAAATTAATACCTCTCTAAATTAATAAAATTTCATGGTCCCAACATTATTAATTTTTAGAGGTTTTACTGTAGTACTTATGAGTTTTAAAAATGTACGTAAATTTGTATGTTGTATATCAAATATGCCATACACTTAGATAGAATGATAACTGTATTGTTGCCGGTTTTGGAAATTTTGTTAACCTCGTGTGTGATTGTTAAATTATAGTAATAATAATTGTGTTACGTGTGGTATATATAATAATCTCCGTTTGAAATTAAGTCTCGTTGTATAACTTAACTTTTGTTTTTGAATAAGTATCATTTTTGTTTTTTGCTAAATTGTAAATATTTCATAGATAGTGAAAAAATTTTAGGTTACAATCCAAAGATTTGGAATCTATACACATGGTTCCATGGCAAAAAAAATAAAAACATGAAAGCATAAGACGGTAATTAAACCAAGTTTTTGATCCATCTACTCAACAAATCAAAGAAGCTGTGGGAACAAGATGAAGCGATGACGTTTATGTTGTCCTTCCCAGAAGAGTTGCAAAAGGAGAAGGTCGAAAGCAGATTGAAAACACCTTGTTACGATTGACAACTAGCTCTAGAAACCTTTAGCATGAGGCCCGAAACCGAGCCGTCAACGGTTAAACTCTAAATCATCGATCACATACTCTCCCTGCGTCATGTGAGATCGATTCTTCGTTTCAAATCCATGAGCTTTTCCATGAAACAGAACCTCAAAACGTTATATATGAGTTGATTTATATTATTTGTTTTTTTCATTTGGACTTTTGTTCAAGATTTTTTTTATTATAGTCAGTCAAATAAGCAAGTAGATATTGTGCCAACATCCTCCATGGGCACCCTCGCTCCGATACTTTTTAGCTGAGATCATGTTAATTAGAATTTGTGTTAAATAATTTATTTATAAATTCTAAATAGTACTTATGAGTTTTAAAAATGGACGTAAATTTGTATGTTGTATATCAAATATGCCATACACTTAGATAAAATGATAACTGTATTGTTGCCGTTTTCGGAAAATTTGTTAATTAACCTCGTGTGTGATTAAAAATCTATAGAATAATAATTGTGTTACGTGTGGTATAATACTTTCTCCGTTTTAAATTAAGTCTCGTTGTATAACTTAACTTTTGTTTTTGAATAAGTATCATTTTACAGTTTCAAGATGCAGATTAATATACTATCAAATCATTAATCGGTTTCCTTTTCCTTCTTCATTGAATCCATATCGGTTAGCTGTTACCCTTTTTCTTCTTCGGATTTGGATTGAAAATGGATACAGAAAGAGAAGAAACTATCATCGATATAGATTGAATGTCTCATTGTCGGGATACCTTAAGTATTAGAAATAAAAACATAATTGATTTATGAAAGAACAGATCGAGGGATCAAAAACTAAAAGTTAATCATATGATCAATAGTATATCTTGACATGACTACATTCATACTTAGATGAAAGTAAGGTTGAAACATTATGATAGTTGTGGTATATGAAAAAACTATATATTTGGGACGAAACTAATATTACATGATGTGGTTTTGGGTCTGGGAGATTACGGGTTTTGAAACAGAACCTCCTGGTATTAAAAAAAAAAAAAAAAACTATATACTGTAAGCTACTTTTTTCTTATACGCATTTGAAGAAGATTTTTGTATAAAGCAGTTGCTCATCTTCTTTCGCCAAATATTTATTGAAGAAGATGATGATAGGATTGAGTTTTGGGGTAATTCAAAAAAAAAAAAAAGATTTGGAAGCATTAGGAAGATTTTGTTTTATTTTTTTGAGAGATTCATGAAGACTAATTAGGAATATGTTTTCTTCTCATACTTATCAACGTACAATTTTCATGGAAAGGAAAAACACTTAAATTTGATAACGAAGCCACATTATAAGAAGAAAATCGAAGAAACTTCACATGAGAGATCACTACAAGAAAAATGAGCTTCGGTAACACAAGGAATATGCTGCCAAAGGGATTTCGTAGCGAAACTACAAACGCTGTATAATGAGGAGCTACAGTAGACCCCCCCCCTACCGTAGCAGTTTTTACGCGCTATCGTAGATTGACCTATTATAGCGCTAGAAGCTCGCTAATTAATATTTTTAACTAGCGCTTTGTTTTTGCTGTTATGTTTGTTTATATAGCAATTTCTTTGAGCTGTGAAATATTTAATGATAACACATTATATATGCTGGTGGATATTGTTTCGTGACATTATGGTTCTCGAATTTAACACTGTAGTAGCACAAAAACATTGCTATAGAAAAGTTTTATATAGCTCTGTTTTTGTGCCATAGGATAGTGTTATATAGCGCTTATGCTATGTTATAGAAGAGTGTTATATAGCGCATTTGTTCTGCTATTGTGTAGTTTTTAATGGCTACTATACATTGCCATAACATCATTTACAATAGCATTTATCAATTGTGGTTTAAAAATGTTTTCAAGCTTTTTTTTAGTGCTATAATATAAGATTTCTTGGCTGAGAAATTTCTGTTTATATTGCAATTTGAATCTATATTTAACTTATTTGCGTCAATATAATTTGTTATTTGAAACATTGAATTGCACAAAATGTAATTAGCTTTTATTTATGAAAGACCATGAATCATAAAATATCATATTACATAAAGTTAACTTAACAAAGTTTAAAGATAACATGAACTAACTAAACATTAATTACAAAAACATGAACTCTAAGAGTTGTTACCATGCCATTATTATTCAACCAGTCTTGCAGTATGAGGACTCTCCTTTCTCCTCTCTTGGACGTTTCTTATCAGTGTTGTTCCTCGCACATAGCTTTCTTATTGCCTCAATGTCTTCTTCCTCTAGTTCCATGCGTGTATCAATGTCTTCTTCGATGCGTATTAAGTACCCTCGGTGAGCACAAGCCCGTCTAAAGTCTATCTTTGTTATCTCCTTCAGTTCATCATCCGCATCGGTTTGTTGATCGTTCTTTGCTTGTTGTTGTATTTGTTGTCTGAATTTTGGTACAACGTTCTTAGCGGGGAGGCCGCATATGAGTCCTTTACCTTCCATTTAACTAACAGTTTCTGCAGTACCAAATATGATATTGTTTAGATATGTTTATTTTTTTATCAACAACCACAACAATCAAAAGAAAACAATATAATTCAATACAAAAGAATATAACCTTTGCTTGAATGACGAAATGTTGTAGAACCTGTTATATATAGCTCCGAAACCTGAAAACTGAAAAGATTTATCACAAGAACCTGACAATGAAAAGGTTAAAATCTTTAAAAGTCTTTATGAACAAGAATATGCAAAACACCATCAACAATCTCAACAAACAAAATATTACGAGAACCTGTTTTAATATGTCTTAAATCTAATAAGATTGACTATCAGTGTTCGATTCTATTGAATATCTGCAAGAAACCTAATTCCAAACTGAATCAGTAACTATTAAGGTCCAGAGAGAGAGAGAGACGGAGTAGGTCCAGATTTCATTGTGAAATCAGGCAGATTTCATGAAAGTCCAGATTTCATTGTGAAACAAAAACTATTAAGATTCTTGTATTCGAGAAACCAAAATAGCGACAACAAAAACTATTATGATTTCATGAAACCATCTCTGACAGGGTATTCGAGAAAGCAAAATAGCGACAACAAAAAATAAAGATTCGGCGATGATTCGAAAAACAAGCAATCGAAAGAGAGAGTAAAACCTTTAGATTCGGCAATGATTTTTTGTAGTGTTTGGCGATGGTGACAAAGATGATATGATCTCCTCTTAGATTCAATCTGTGTTTTTTTTTTGGTGTTTGGTCTCGAGAATGAGATTGCGTTTTGGTGTTTGGTCTCGAGAATGAGATTCAAGCTTTGAAGACATCGAGTAATGAGAGAGAAATTAAAAGTTAATTAAAACAGAGCTAATTAATGACCGTTAGATTTATTCTAATCAACGGTAGATATGAATAATTAGGTGATCCACACCTTCATCAATTAGCCAATGAGATAATTTGTTAACGATTGGTATGTTATTAGTATAGTATTTTGTTATTTTTCTTTGTATTAATTTTGGAATATGGTGTAACAATTAAATAAAAATAAGTTTCATATGGTAAAGTTTAATTTAAAATTTAAAATTATATTTTTACATTGTCAATTTCATGTTTCATATATTGGTGTAGAATGCCTTTAACTAATAGATTTAGGGTATAAGGTTTAGGGTATAGGGTTTGGGGTTTATATCTTATATTACTATATGATATAAAGATTTATTTATAATGCTAACTAATATTAATAATTCATAATTATGTACAAATATACATAGTATTAGATTTTTACATTGTTAATTTCATGTTTCATATATTGGTTTAGAATGCTTTCAACTAAGAGATTTAGGGTATAGGGTTTAGGGTATAGGGTTTGGGGTTTATATCTTATATTACTATATGATATAAAGATTTATTTATAATGCTAACTAATATTAATAATTCATAATTATGTACAAATGTACATAAAATTATATTTTTACATTGTTAATTTCGTTTTTCATATATTAATAATTCATAATTATCTTATTTTTTAAAATTTTCTCTACACTATTTGAATTATTTATATATTGATTTTTACATTGTATATATCCAAATTTTTAGATATCGACTAATAACATATCTAAATTTTTGAAATTTGGCTTATTAACATATCGACTAAGTATATCTCAAAAATTTTAAAAACAAAAAATTAAGTAACTTGTCCCATTTAAATTATCTGAAACATAGAATTTCTGATTCAACATAATAATGCAAAATAAAAACAAAGGGATCCAAATAACCATTGTAAGACACAAAATAACACAAAGTAGTCATGTCTTTAAACTCAAAAACACGTTCTCCCATCTGAAACATCACTTGTCCTCATTCTCCATTACAATTTTACCTTCTGGCCAGGCAACACAAGTTCCATGTGCATCTGCCATACACTCGATTGCAGGGGTTTGCCTCCAAACCTGAGCATCAGGTTCAATCACAACATCCACCCATACGCGACAAGCATTAGGCCCCAGTTTCTTGTGATGTACTTCTTGGTCAGGATTACTAGACGACCAACGTCCTTCAGCAACAACGCGATCCATTTCGGATATATCCATCAACTTGCATTTTTGATTTTCTTTGAAGGCGAGACGCTTCAAAAACAACCAGCAAAAAAGATACACAGAAATCAACCACAAGCAAAAAAAAAGATAGCCAGAACTCAACAAGATAGAACAATCACAACCAATCATGATCCTTAAAGAGCATGCACCTGGGATTTGCGACGAGGAGATGCCTCTTTCAGAGATGTCTTCAATAACAACCAGCAAAAAATGAATACAGAAATCAGCAACCAGCAAAGATTAAAGCCATACAACAAGAACAACCACAACCAATTCATGTACCTGTGATTTGTGACGAGGAGATGCCCCTGTCAGAGATGGTTTTGTTTTCAATAAAGGTTTCTTCAAAGGAGCTTTTGGAGTTTCTGGAGACTTGTCCCTCAGATAACTTGGACTTGCTGAGTTAGTCGAAGATATAGGACCATTAGGAGATTTAGAAATTACAGGAGACATCTCCTTATGAGATCTTATGCTTCCTCCCTTAGATGTAGATTGTTGAAGAACAGGGGATTCAGTCGATGTTGTCTCAATCACAACTCTATTTGCAGGCCATGCTATAAAACAGTTCAAAGATTCCTGCAGAGTTCTCATGTCCGCTGTAGGCCTCCATAGCCATGTATTTGTGTTTAAAACCGAATCCACATAAACTTTGATTGCATTTGGACCAATAGGAAGTCCATTTACCAACGCACTCCGTTCTCGAGACTGCCATCTACCTTCAGCTACAACTTCATCATTCTTACCCAAAGCCTTGAGTTTGCATCTGTTTTTTGAACTTGTGCTAGGGCTCTGTGGAACAAAGGTACAAAACAGGAAGAAGGATTATTGAGAAAGTTTGATCTACATACAAAAAACAATTAATAAAAGATACTTAACCTTAGGTGCAATGTCTTCTGCAATGCCACCTTCGCTTGGAACAATACATAAATCGGGATCCCATGCAATCATTTCTCCAACTACATCCTCAATAGTAGACCTCTCAGGTATAGGTCTCCATAATGGAGCTTCTGGTTTGGTAGCAGATTCAATAAAAACCTTAACTGCATAAGGCCCTAAAGGTATCCCATGTACTAATTCATCAGCATCATAAGAAACAATACGGCCCTCAGCAACATTATCATCAGAAGAAGTCCAGTCAACCAAACTACACTTAGGAAGTGTTTTGGTATTTACACTCTTATGTATAGAGTTTTCACCAACATCACCCTCTTGTCTCTGCAATTTCAGAAACATATCAACATATAGTATATATAACTTATTAAATATTATATCAGTACATAATGTGTATATAGTATACTAACCTGATCATAAATTTTTTCAATAATTTGCTCTAAATCCTAAATTCTATTCTTCATTTGAACCTGATCTGCTTCCATTGCAGCTATAGAGCTTATGTTGACTTGGAAACAAGAAAGTTTGGTCAAGCTCATGCCTCTGCCCATTGCCCGTAGTCTTCCAGGATTATCAGGTCCCAAAATTTGACTAAGTATATCTTCCTTTGGATTTGTTGTAGCTGAATCCTGAGTACCTTCAATTTCTAGCTCGGTTGCCTTTCTCTGCAAACAAATAACATAGTAATGTACATCACTCATTAATGATGACCAATATATTAAGTAATTTTAGAAGAATAAACATAACATACAATCAATTCAGCCGCCTCTGTAGTTACAGGAGTACCATCCTTCTTGGTCCGTGACTCGACCCACACTTTTGCTCTTGTCACCTGGGATGGGTCTGAGCTTGCCTCGATTAATTCTTCTCTCTTTCTGACCATTCCTTTACGGCCAAGGCAATGAGGAATCTGCAGCTTCCTTTTCTTCTTCATAGAATCACTTACTACCTTAAATGCATTACTAGTCTTCTCTTTTATAAACTTACGCCATTCGGGTTCAGTTATATTAGGTGGTCGCAGATCCATCCTATCTTTCATGTTATCAGCTCCTCTGACCGCTGAAACAAGGCGTGATTTAGAGGATCTCCATATATCTCTCATCTGAACAAATGCAGCTCTTTTCTTCCATGGTTGGTCAAGATCAAACCTTAGCTGCATTCAAATGAATCATTTAAAATCAGAAATCACACAAAGCAATTCTAATTAAAAGAAGCAACATGTAAAAGTAAATTACAGAATACCTCAATAGATCTCCACAAAACAAGTTTGATATCTTCACTTACTTTCCTCCAATCCCGGATTGTGTAAGGAACATGTTCCCGTACTATTGTACCTAAATATGATGCAAACGGTACTGACCCTGGACCACAAGGTTCTCCCATGATAGTATAATCCACGTGAACCTTTTCATTTGGATCCTTGGCGATGTTTTTCATCTTCGTTGGTCCTCGTTTCCTTTTACGCTTTGGTTCAGCAATATTTTCAGCAACATTCGGAGTATGATCTTCATTGTAAGCAGCAGCATCATCATCAACTGGTTCAACTACATTGTCTTCATTGTCTTCATCATCATTCTCTTTACCTTCTAACTCAGCATCCACTTGTAAATCAGCATCCTCTTGTAAATCAGCATCAACTCCATTACACAGATTTTGAGTTTCACACTGATCCTCTACTAATTCCTGAGTTTCCAACTGCTTCTCCTCTATCTCGGCAATCTTCTTCTTTTTTTGTGAATGCCTTTTTCGAGTAGTGTTGACCATCTTAGTTCACCTGAAACAAAAGAAATCACTTGATTATCAAAACATATACTTGTTTAGAAAACAAAAATCATTCACAGGAAACACACATTCTAAACAATCATAAATACAAAAAAACAATCACATATAGTATAATTTCACACATAAACATGGGTGGGTGACAGAGACTTCCGGTGAGACATATACACGTGCTTTCTACAATTACTCAACCACAAACTATCTGTGTGCTTCCCGCAAACAGGACAACCCATTTTGCCTTTAACTTTGCAGCCTGCTAGATTTCCATATGCCGGGAAATCCTGTATGGTCCACAGAAGCATTGCTCTTAAAGTGAATGTAGTGCGACTGAATGCATCATACGTTACCTCTCCCTTCTCCCACAGATGGTTTAGATCCTCTATAAGAGGCTCTAAATAGACATCTATATTGTTTCCAGGTTGAGTTGGTCCAGGAATCAGCAATGTCAACATGATGTTCTCCTCTTTCATACACTTGTCAGGTGGCATGTTGTAATTGACTAGCAAAACAGGCCACGCACTATAGTTAACATTTTTCATGTTAAAAGGATTAAACCCATCTGTGGAGAGTCCAAGCCTAATGTTCCTTTCCTCTGTAGCAAATGACGGATATTTTTTATTCATTTGATCCCACGTCACAGAATC